ATCGATATTCATATTGACGTCTACTTATTTGGGTCCAAATGGTAACAACTGAATTCTACTGAATGTAGATTCTGGAAGAATATTTTTGTGATTTTTATCAGAATCTAGTTTCATAAATATGAATTCAAACGATAACCAAGGAATCTAACTAAATAACTGAAAACAATTATAAACTAAATAGTTCTATATGGTTACAAAATAAATAAAATATATCGCCAGAATGTTTACCATTTTAGTGTTTACTTGTTACTAGGTGATCGGTCCGCACTTTGTATGGGCTATAAAATATTTTATATATTAAATATATGATTATACTTTATTTTTATATGATTAATTATATATTAATAATAATATTATATAAATATTTAATATTTAATAAAAATAAATAAAATAAAAAATATTATAGATTTCAATAGAAATTGAAGATAAAAATATTAACCCAAATTTTTAAAATAATTCATTAGATAAAAAGTGTAAGTATGATAACTAAATAAACTGAAAACATTATAATATATAATAACTTATTTAATTTTTATGGTTCGCCCGCACGTATGTGCAAGTATAATTTTTTTATAAACATAATTAATTGTAATATTTAAGTATTGATTAATTTCTTATACATATGTAAGCGTTATGTTTTTATACATATACCATTTTAGCGTTTAACAACAATCAAACAAATATTTCATATCATTTTGTGTCTTTGGAAAATTTATTATGTAAGTGTTACGTTTTTATACATATACAATTTTAGTGTTTAACAACAATCACACAGACAGTCATATCATTTAGTGTTTTTTGATTTTTTTTTGTTTTTTCTAGCTTTAAGAGTAACATATAATTATAAATGTAAAAGTTATATTAAATAATAATTAAATTCTTATAATATATTTTGAATATTATACTATATTATATTTCTTTTCCCTTTGCATAATATAATCTTCTCAAAATATATATTTTAAGTATATATTTTTCTTTGACATATTGCTAAATAAACCAATCATTACTTATCCTAAGAGTGGTGAGGTGATTTGTACGCACGATATATTTTTTTTTAATAAATACAAATTGACTAATAACTAAAATTTAAATTGGACTTTAATCGAGTTTAATAAAATGTATGCACGACAAGTTTACATGCAACTTTGATTTTTGCATAATTAATATTTATATCTACACGTATATTTGTGCAAAAAATCAAAGTATGGCTTTTATGTGTTAAAAGAAAATAACAAAATAAATGTTTTGTAAAATATCTTTTTATAATTTATATTTAATTTTTTTTAGGTATGAGTTATGAATAAGTGAATTGTAATAGTTTTTCTGGTATTTTTTGCAAACATTATGATTTTACACAATGCAGTTTTTTGGCGTTTAACAATAATCACGAAAACCATTTCTATCGTTTTGTATTAAATCAAAATTTCTTATTTTTCAGCATTTTATGATATATGGTTTCTCAATCAAAATCATAATACAAATTTATTATAAAATTTGTGAATTATTATTTTATAAATTTCTCCGGTAGCTCTCTGCTCACCTTTTCCTCAATTTGTTTATAGCCCGCAGTCGTCCGCTTCCACAAACTCTCTGTAACTGCAGCGTTTAAACCAGCCGAATCCTAAACTTATATGTGTATGGTTGAAAGTGTAAAATAATATATTTAATATTTAATTGTTATATTACAAAATAAGAGTTCTTATATTCATAACTTTGATATATGTGTTAATCTTATATATAATGGATCTAACATATACAAAATTTGATTCGTGAAATAATATTTTAAGATGTTAAAAATATATATGCATGAAAGAATTAATATGTGTAAGATAATATCTTTTTATATTTCAAAATAAAAACATAAAATCGATCAAAATTATTCTGATATGCTGTAATTAAAGTCGTAAAGATTCATTTTTACTTTTACTTCTGGTGTAATAAATTAAAGTCTGCTTCCAATACATAGCATGAGATTTATATTATAATTTTGTAATTTATTAAAACATTTCGTTTATTTTAAGTGTCATAATGATTGTGTCAATCAAAATATTTTCTTTTATTTAATTTTTAGTATATTTTGGTGATTTTTTGAATTGAATCTGGAAACTGCAATTTCAAAACAAATCACCAAAATTGAAAAAAAAAATCAAATTAACACATAGATCTTCCTTGATGATATCTGCAACCTGCTACAAAACGAATTCATGAGTTCAAATTAGGCCAGACATGATATTACTCTTACAAACACGTCATAATAATATACGATTATTACCTCGTCTTGAATCTCCTCCTCAACGTCCTCCTTGTGTTGAGCACGTTAAACCAGGTAAAGAAACTGAAAAAGACAGTCAAGATAGAGTCAATTGACATATAATTGCTAATAAGAAGAGAGGTTTAAGTCATCATGGTGCCATAATTTTTTTTAACTTGGATCTATGCGTGGGTGCAGATTCCTTTCTTCAAGGAATGCACATTTGTTTCTTTTCTTCTCGTCATTCACTCCATTTGGCAAGCCCTCATAATTGAAAAACAGAGTTTAAGGCTTAAAAATAAATCCCAAAGAGTGAGAATTTCAAGAAACAAACTTATGTCGTGCAATATACATCTAGTAAAAGTGAATAAAAATGGTGAATCAATAAAAAAAAACAAAAAAAACCAAACCAAACGCTTAAGGAAAACCCAACCTTTTGGTTTTTATCTCTCAAAAGTTCACATAGCGCAGGGTGGCCCCATAAAGTTTCTTTAATCGCTATTTTCAAACGGATCTTAGGTCTCTCTTCGTCTCTTTACGCTACTTTTTCAAAAGCAGTAAATTCAGGAAACTCAGAGTTGAAATCAAAGTAGACGAATTTTCGGAATCTCGAATTCCAACAAGTTTGCAGAGATGAGGGGGTTTTTTCAGCCGAGGAACGAAAGATTCGCCATCTGATTCCGCTTCTCCGTCATTGAGATCATACCCTTCAACGTCTCCAGCTTCATCGTCTGTAGTGACTGGACCACCGAGACCTATTCGGCTAGAGAAAGACTGACCGAATCGAAAACAGAATAGAGAATCAAAACTTACAGCAGTTAGCCATAAATCAGGGATCGCTTTGATGATTTCATTAAGCTTGTCATAGACAGGTTTCTGGTGGGAAGAATCGCTATATCCTCACGGCCATGACATAAGGTGAAACCTAAATTTCATTGCATCGGTTTATTTTTCTTTTTAATGATGAGGTGTCTAAAATTTCTATATTTAACTAGAAAATAAGCGAGGTCACATTTATAGGTAATCAATTATTTGCACTAATTTTAGCTGTGAAGGTGACAAGTCAGCTTTTTCACTAATATTACTTCTCAAATAATATGAAGGTGGATGTTATAAATTTCAGTTTAAAAATTAATAAAATTATAAATATTACATTTTTAAAATAATAAATGATTTTTCTATCTAAAATTAACAATTATATTCATATTTAAAAAAAAATCGTTAACTTATTTGACCGTCAAATAGTCATAAGAAAACGTTCTTCTATCTTGATTTTGGAATATCAAATTCATTATGGTTTTTGAGATTTTACTCTGTAAAGAAATAAAAATATCTTAAAAATCAATATTAAAATTAATATACTTAGATTTAAATTTGATTTTGATGATAATTTTTTTACCATATAAATCCAGATCCAGATCCGACTCCTCTCATATATACAAAATTTTAGAGCAGATTTTAAATCAAATTTTAAATTTTTTTATTAGTTTTTTGGATAATATTTAAGGGATACTACCTTTTCAAACTCAAAATTTTTATTATTTGATTTGCAAAATAAAAAAATTTAGTTTTATTTATTTTGTTTACCAAAAAACACTCAAAAAAATATTTCTGAAACAATCAAAAATAATATGATATATAGTCATTAAAATTTAATATAATGATTTTTTGTGAAATTACGTTAGTTGGGAAAATATCATCAAAATCAAATTATAAAATTTTAATTTATATATAAATTTATATTTAAATTAGTATATCTGATTTATTTATCTACTATCCATATTTTTATGTATTTGTTTTTAAAAAATACATCTTGAATATAATATTTTATCTTAGTTATATTACCCAACCGTATTTTGTATTATCTGATATTTTACCCAAACCTGTTATTTTACATAATTTAAAAAAAACATACAAATCATAAAAAATACATTTAAAAGTAATTATCACAAGTATAATTCTCCTTTAAAAATAAATAATTAAGATAAATAAAATCTTCAATTCATATATAAGTCATAAATAAAATATTATATAATAGAATAAGCCAACAAAATTTTTATCATCAGAACTGATGTCTGCTGTTTTTCTGACACAATTAAGTTGTGAATAAAATTTATTTATTAATAGTTAAAAGAACCGTATTTTTTTAATAGAGATTTTGCATCATACCACTATTGAAGTAGAGAATTGGCGGAAAGCAAACGAAAATGAGTTAGATGAAGAAAAAAAGGAAAGGCAAGGCACATACGCTTCTATTGAGTCCTATGAGCTCTTTTTGATCCCTCAAGTCCTAACTTGTCAGATTGATGTCATTTGAGTCGGTAATAGTCCAGTTAGTGGACTTGGGTAGTATATGTTAGACACAAAATGATACATCACTACCGGACAGCAAGATTGCAGAAAAAGGTTATCAGTGCTCCATGCAAAAATAGACAGGTTAATTTAGACGTTAACATGCTTGAGGGATAAAGAGTTACAAAGAATTTGTATCGAGACCGATTACTCAAATTTAATTCAGATGCTTGAAAATCCCATAGTCTCGCCAATCATTAGACTGGAGTTAGATTACTTATATTCTTTTAATTAAGACCTCATTTATAGAATGTGTTGTACGTTCTTTGTAGCTAAAATATCTATACTCATACTCTTGCAAAAAAGACAAAAACACATGAATTATATCCACTATCAATCGATAGATCCCAAATCTAATAACCAAAACTGATTTAATATATAGACATCAATTGCCAAAAAAAAAAAAAAAATTTCGTGCTGGAAATATGTATCACAAAATAAGATCGGGTATCTTTTTCACTCCACCTTTCGATGCACTAAATAAGTGCCCATTATAAAAATGACTAAATTATTCTTAGTGTAATCATGTTTCATCCCTTTAAGAATCTCACTGTCACCAGCAGAAAAACCTTTTCAATATACTGTTCTCCCAGATCCATCTTCCCCAACTTGTATCTGTAACCTCTCCATAAGATCTCTCTGATACGATACCATTTTTGTCCTGCTCACCGATTTCAAAAACAACAAAAATCGAAGTTTGTAGTTTTTGTCTCCGATGAAAAGCAAAATCCACCATCAGCTGAATAACAATAATGTTGTTGTAGGTAGCGATAATGGCTGCGGAAGCGAGTCTCCAAGCCCACGTTTATCTTCGAATCGGCGTGTCCTCCGTCGGGAACGGCAGAAAACTCTGTTCCAAGTTTCTTCGTTCTCTCTCTGGAGAAATCTTCGTTTCTTGCTTCTCCTTCCTATGATTTACGCTTCTGGGCTTATCATGTGTGTTGGTCCTTTCTCGGGTCTTGTCGGGTGGGTCTATGTTCCCGGTTCAGTTTATCGAAGCCCTGAGATTTACCGAAAACTCCGAGTTGACATTCTCTCTGACAATTCAACTTCGCTTGAGGTATATTTATTGTTAAAAAAAAATCCTGTTTTTGTTACTGATTTTGTGTATCAATTTTTGTTAAATCCTTTTATTAAATTTTTGGTATCAGTTTTCATCTGTTTGGAAATACAAAAGGAAGCCAAAAATGCCAAAACCTTGTCCGAATTCGACAGTTTCACCACATCTTGGTTTCGACAGAGGTACGGAGCCAACCAATTTCCTTATATATCTCTAAAATTTGTTTTGTTCTGAAGAATCTGAACTATTGTGTTGTGTGGCCTCCCAATTTCTGAAATCACTAAACAAAACTATATTTTTTTTTTGTTAAAGGATTTCACAAAATAAATAATTTTATTAATTTTTTGTTCATTAAACAAAGTTTGTTTCCATTTAAACAGTTTTTAAAGCTTTGAAAATAATGTGTTTGATGAAATTTGCTAAAGTCATCTACTCTTACTCCTAGATATCTCTAGAATATTTTTTGGTCTCAAATATCGAGTCGTTTGGCTTCCCAGTTTCTTAGATCACTAAACAAAAAGATGATTTTAGTTATTTCTTGTTTATTAAACAAATTTGATTCCCTAAGAACCGTTTCTAAAGCTTTGAGCACAATGTGGTTGATGAAAATTTCCAGAACCATCTGCTCTTGCTCCTAGCGGTTACTTGATCGTAAATGCAAATGGCGGCCTTAGTCAGCAGCGTTCCGCGGTATTACCTACTTGTTCTCTTATTGACTAAAAACCATTAATCCTATAAGTCCAACATGTTATAAGTTGTTGTCTTGCTTTTGATTGCTCCAGATTTGCAATGCTGTGGCTGTCGCCGGACTCTTGAACGCGGTCTTAGTAATCCCCGAGTTCGAATTTCACACCATTTGGAAGGATTCAAGGTAAGAAAGGTAGAAATATTTTCGTTACTTTCTTAAGTCTTGGTTCAAATATTGGACTAAGAAATGCATTTTTGTGGCAGCAACTTTGGGGATATCTATGACGAAGATCATTTCATATCGAGCCTTGAAGGCTATGTGAAAGTTGTGAGACGTGTTCCGGATGAGATAATGAGCCGTTTTGGTTACAACCTTACAAGTATCCCTACTATTCGCGTTCAAGCTTGGGCTACTGTGAACTATTACAATGGGGAAGTCTATCCGGTATTAAAGGAACATGGGTAGGTTGAGTTTAATTTTGAAGCTGTTGCATGACTGAACTCTTTATGTTTCTTAAGGGGATATCATTGTTTATTCAAATTCAGGGTTATACGGATTTCTCCTTTCGCAAATAGACTGGCGATGAGCGTTCAACCATATATCCAACTTTTGAGGTGCATTTCGAATTACAAAGCATTGAAGTTTTCTTCACATATATCATCACTAGCTGAAATGTTAGTTGATCGGATGGTTGAGAAAAGCTCAGAGAACGGAGGAAAGTATGTCTCAGTCCACCTTCGATTTGAGGAGGTAACTTTCTCTTTGTTTGTCTCAGTAGTTTTGGTTAAGAGAGACGAGATTAAAAAGCCTTTGTTTTTAGGACATGGTGGCCTTCTCATGTTGTCTCTACGAAGGAGGAAGAGCTGAGAAATCTGAAATGGATGTGATTAGACAGAAAAATTGGAAAGTAAAGTTCAAACGAAGGGATCGTCTTATTAAGCCTGATCTTAACCGGGTTAATGGAAAATGCCCTCTTACCCCATTAGAGGTAATTCATTGACCGGTATTCACATTTCAATTTCAATTAAAGAGGTATTTTCATGTGTTACTGTTTTATTGAGCTTTGTTTTTCAATTGCTGCTGTAATGTGAGCATAGGTCGGTATGATGCTCCGTGGTATGGGATTTGATAACAGCAGTTCAATCTATTTGGCCTCGGGAAAAATCTACCAACATGAGAAACATTTGGCTCCTCTCCGGGAAATGTTTCCTCGTCTCTACACAAAAGAGTCTCTAGCAACTCCGGAGGAGCTTGCCCCATTTGAGGTTTGATTTCGAATTTGTTAGTCTATAAGCAAATCTGTTTGGACACCATTTAAAGTTTGATCTTTTCTTGTTACTCTGATTATTTAGGGATATTCTTCTAGAATGGCTGCTTTGGACTACACGGTAAGCTTGTTAAGTGAAGTGTTTGTGACAACTCAAGGTGGAAACTTTCCTCATTTTTTGATGGGCCATCGAAAATTCCTCTTCGGTGGACATGCAAAAACTGTCATCCCCGACAAACTCAAACTTGTTCTCCTTCTTCAGGACAGGGAAATGAGGTACTATACTATACATCTTCCTTTTCTCATCTCAACCTCTTCCTAGAGTAATGTATATCTTTAGGCAGAAATGCCTGAAGAAATTCTTTCTCTGTCGTTTAGCTTTGACAAAGAAACAAGGCCCCACTGCACACAAAATTGATTTAATATTGAGCCGTTTCGTACATATTTGAATAAGAGTTTGTACAATCCTTCCTCTGAATCTTGAACAGGTGGGAAGTTTTCAAGAAAGAGATGAAACTGATGTTAGGGGAAAGCGATAGAAAGGGAGTGATGGTACCAAGACTGAGGAAGATCAACAGGAAAACTTCCATTTACACATACCCTTTACCCGAATGCGAATGCATCTTTCATTTGTCTTCCAATTTTTCGAATACCGGAAACATTCAGAATCTTGGAGCTCTTCATCCAATTTCCAACCTCATGAATTCTGCAAGATCATAGTACCGAGTCTTTTTGACACTTACACTGAAGCTTTGAGCCATGTCCTGAACGTCTTTTTTGCTCTTCACGAAAGCTTGCAAATTAGATATGGAGATCTTGATGAAGAAACTGAGTTCACATGTATCCACACAAAGTGTAGCAACTCTTTTGGATTGAAGCTGTGTTGATGTTTCTGATCCTGTAGAAGTTAGGACAATCACATAAACAACGGTGAGATTTTCTGTTCTTAATGTTGTATTTTTTTGTTACTTACGTTATGTCTTTCAAATTGTTCAAGTGTACAGAATTTTACAACGTCTGATGGAATTTTTCTTCTTAATTCTTTGTAACATTACCTGTCATGTAATATGGTCATATAGTTCTGTAGAGTGATGATTCTTTGTAACTTCAGTTAGTGGAGTGTTGGTGTGTTTGCAGGATTGGGAATTTTGGTTTTTTTATTATTCCCAATTAATTGAAATTGGGAATGGAAATGATTAGATGTTGACTGAGTGTCGTTTGAGTTACATTCTCCTGTTTTGAGTTCTCTATGAATCTGGAACAAATTTATTACTCTAATTCCGATTTGTGAATATAAAAAAAGTTTTTTGTTGTTATATTTCGTAAATAAGTTTGATGTTCTTGAAATGAAAAGGGAAAACTGAACAGTGAAAAACATTATATAGTTTGTTGTTTCTATTTCGCTTGTATATTGTATATGATGAATTATTAATTTGAGCCATACGCATTTCCTACAAGCTTTATGTAATGCAATAGTTTCTGCATAATTTGAAGACGTTGTACCCAAAGTCTGCTTTTGAGAATGCCAAGAAATCGCAGTTCTACCAATTGTAAAAACATATCTAGTTTGTGATCGAGTTTTATGCGGATGTGATACATACCATGCATCTGCAAAACCAATCATACCAAACTCGGGGTTTCTTGAATAAAATAAACCAAATTCAATAGTATCTTGTAAATAACAGAATATATGTTTTATTCCGTTCTAATGTCAGCGAGTATGAGATGAGCTGTATCTTGCAAATAAATTAATAGCAAAAGCTATATCAAATCTAATATAATTTGCAAGATACATAAGCCTACTGATAGCACTCATATAAGGTACTTCAGGATCTAGTATTTTTTCGCTATCATCAATGGCCGAAATGGATCTTTATCAACGTCGAACAATCTATTGACCATCGGAGTACTCAAAGGAGTCGCTTTATCCATACTAAAGCGTTTCAAGATCTTTTTCGTATAACTTGATTGATGCACAAATATACAATCTTGGAAATGCTCTATCTGGAGTGATATATCATGGTTTTTTATGGGTTTTAACCATGGTATAAGTCCTTTTTATTGGTCTTTTTGGTCTTTTTAGAGTCCTATTAGAGTTTTTGCAGGTTATAGCATGTCTGGAGCATATTTGAAGGTTTTGGAGCTTTTTGGAGTATTGCAAGAATCAACCATGAAGCGTGCAACTCAGAAGGCGAATACTGAAGTGGGTGACGCTCGTCACCCGTAGCTGGGAAGGAGTCGCGACTTGTGATTAAAAGATTGAGGATTATTTGCACTCTGGCCCCTGAAGTTCCACTAATTACAAAAGTGTTCAAGCTCGTGTTTTAGCTTGTATATATTAGGTTTTCAGCCATTGTTGGCTTATATCTTAGATTTTAGAATTCAGAGAGCTTTTGAGAGAGTTTTATTTAGAGCTTTTGGGGAGAGAGATCATGTACTCTTTTTGGAGAAGATTTTTAACCCCTTTATCTTTTATTCTATTCTTTTAATGCAATTTTATTCAGCTATGCTTTGTGATTCCATGATCATGTCTGAGTAATTTGCTAGTTAAGTTAGGGCTTTTCAAAGGTTGATGATGAGTTTGTAGAAATCGCTAACTGTTAGGAATATCTTTTGGTTCTTTATATGTGCTTGTTTTAAAACCGATTTTCTTAGACACAGCATCTGGAAATTCGAAACCTAGGTTGTTTAATAGATGTGAGAACATTATTGATAACCTGAACTAATATTTGATGAGAAAACACCTTAGTGCAAAGAGATTTGGCTTAGGAGTTTTGTGAACAATTGAACTTGATCATTACTGCCTGTTTAGATTGTTAGGGTTTGCAAAGAGATTTCAAACTCTGTGATTTAGACATAGATAACTTCTGCAATGAGAATTGATTAGTTATATATTTGCAATTCATGTTCAAGACGGTTCTTATTCATTCCTGATTTCATGCATTCTACAGTCTCGGATTCAACCTGCGAATTTTCCTGACTTAGCGCTTTTAATTTTCTGGGTTTTAGATCAAATCAAAAATCGCCTGCTCTTATCTTATTAGTTATTTCGCATTACATACACTACTGATCGCTTAGCTTAATCCGAACTTAAATTCTATAGTGTAGTTTACTTACTCCCTTGGGATTCGATAACCCCTTATACTACGACTGCTTTGCTGTGTAAAACCTGAACCCTATCAAGTTTTTGGCGCCGTTACCGGGGAGTAATAGCTGCCTATCGATTTTTAGTATTATGATTTTGTCTAAGTTTTTATTTGTTTACTGACTTTTGCTACTTTTCTTTCTGCTGGTTTCTGGTGTATGCCTAATCACAGCCGAGAAGCAACAAAGAGAAGGAGCTTTTGACCTTAGGCATTGACGAGCTAGATAAGTTGGAAAAGACCATCAGAAAAGCTAAGAAGCAGTCTACAATGGTTAATCCGATTGTGCTGGTCGAGAATGCAGAAGGTCACTTGGTTGACAGAGATGGAAACATGAGGAATGAAGAAGGGTAGAGATTGGATCAGGATGGGAATGTCATCGTTGATGGTGCATGATGCTGGAGTTCCTGCTGCTGCCAATAACGCTGCTGGGCATTTTGTTCAGAGGACTCTAGGAGATTACAACAGACCTGACAAGTTCTATGCCAACAGTGCTGCAATCTGCCTTCCTGCTTTCCAGAGGAATGATTTTGAGCTCAGGCCTGCGTACTTTCAGCTTGTGGGACAGCATCCTTTCCATGGCTTACCTCATGAGCATCCTATGGATCACATTGATAGATTTGAGGATTTGGCTTAAAGTGTCAAAGCTAATGGAGTTAGCAATGATTTTCTGTTCTGCAAGCTATTTCCTTACTCACTTGGAGGAGATGCTGCATATTGGCTGAAGCAACTAGAGCCTGGTTCGCTGACCACTTGGGAGGACACCAAGAATGCTTTTCTGAACAACTTCTATGATGATGCTAGATCACAGGACCTGAGGATGAAAATTGCATCATTCGCCCAAGGTCCTACTGAAGCTTTTAAAGCTTCTTGGCTGAGATTCAAGTCTTATCAAAGGGACTATTCTCATCATGGTGTTAATCAAGTGCAGCTGCTAGGTATTTTCTTCAGAGGCATTGAATGGAAGTATCAAATGGCGTTGGATGCTGCTAGTAATGGGAACTTCAACACAAACCTTCCTGATGCTGCAATAACTATGATAGAAAACTTGGCCTGCAGCAACAACACCAAGAATGCAGATTTTCAGAAGATGAAACAGGGTGGTTTGAGTGATGAGAATCAGATTTCTGAAGTTAAGGCTAAGCTGGACAGTATGCACAGCCTTTTGGTGGGAAAGAAGTCAGTCCACTTTGCTGCAGAGGTAGAGACTTTCGAAAATCTAGAGGAGATTGAGCAGGAAGATGTTAATTTCATCAATGCTGGAGGATTTTAGGGTCAAAGGTATGTGAATCAACAGTGGAACAGAGGCTACAACAACGATAATTAGAAGAGTACCTTCACAGGGAGTCAAAGCTCGCCTGGTTACACATCCAAACTTCAGTTCCAGAAGATAGAGTTTCAGAAACCTTACCAGAACAGCAACAACTTCAACATGAACTATGGTTCTTCTTCCTACCAAGCTGCTCCTCCACAAAACAATATGGTGGAAGCTTTGTTAGAACAACTCCTAGAGGGACAACATAAGATGACAGTGAACTTCAATGGCAAGATGGATTCACTGTATCAGGACTTGAATGGAATGATTAAGAATCTGCACTCTCACATGAAAAAGCTGGATGTTCAAGTTGCTCAAACTGCAGGAGCTGTTCAGAGACAAAAAAAGATTCCTTCCTGGAAGGACTGATGCTAATCCCAAGCACAATGCGAATGCCATCACATTGAGGAGTGGAAAGAACCTGCAACCAGTGTTGCAGAAGGATTTGAGCTCAGGAGGATTCGTTGGACTTGAAGAGTTTGAAGATGATGAAATTTCTACTGAAAAAAAACGGGTGATGATCGTCACCAATAATGGGTGTCGCTTGTCACCCAATTTGCTACAACCCGACGTGACTACATCCTCTACGAGTGACGCTCGTCACCAATCCAGTGACGCTCGTCACCCACAGCAATTTACAGCTGCTTCGCCTAAGACTTCAAACAATGCTATGGAAACGGTGTACAAGCCTAAAGTACCCTATCCTAAGCATCCTAAGAAGTCTAAACAGGAGCTTGAAGATGCCAGATGCAAGGCTATAATGGATAAGCTGGTCATTGAGATTCCATTGATTGATGCTGTGAGGATCACTCCTGTTATAAGGAGGTTTGTGAAGAGGATGGTGACTAACAACTTGAGCTTAGAGGCAGGAGCAATGATGATCAACGAGCAGGTTAGTGCAGTGATTCAGAACAGAGTGCCATAGAAGCTTTCAGATTCTGGAAGCTTTGTTTTAGACTGCACAATATTTTCTGACATATTTGAGAGATCATTGTGTGATCTTGGTTCTAGTGTGAACCTTATGCCTCATTTTGTTGCCAAGAGCTTAGGGATAACCGATTTCAAGACTACCAGGATATCTCTTGTCCTAGCTGATAGATCAGTCAGAGTTTCTGAAGGTGTGATAGAGGATGTTCCTATCAAAGTATGAGATTGCATGATTTCTACTGATTTTGTGGTTATAGAGTATGGAGAAGAACCCAAAAACCCTATGATTCTTGGCAGACCTTTCCTAGCTACTGCAAGAGCTATTATTGATGTGAGCAAAGGAAGAATTGGGCTGAATGTTGGTGACTTGGTGATGCAATTCGAAATGGACAAGCTGATGAGGAGGCCAACCATAGATGGACAGACTTTCTATGTGGATGTTCTTACCAACCTTGCTATCAGATCTTTCAAGAGATGAGATCAGAAGACCCCTTAGAGAGGGCGTTGACCAGTTCTACAGCAGAGTATGAGAATCTGGATTCAGCTGCTACTGGCTATACAAAGATGATGGATGCTACTGCACATGTGATGCAACTGGTTGCACAGGATGAACTTGTCACCTCATCTGCGAAAGTTGCTGCAATGGGTGATTAGAGTGCAGCAAAAGCACCAAAAGTTGAGCTTAAACAGCTCCCTGCAGGGCTAAGGTACGCTTTCCTTGGAGAATACTCCACTTATCCTGTTATTGTTAAT